AAAAAAAAAAAAAAAGACACTACTCGCCTTCCGTATTATTATTGTGCACTTACGTTTTATCAAAACAATCTTTGAATTTAACACTGCCGCTACGATCGAAGATGCACCATGTGGTGACTCTAACGTTCGTCTCTTACATTCGTTTTTCATGATTCCGAACAGAAATGCTAGTTGTGTTGTTTTTTTTCAAATCACTGACCAAACGGAAAACAAAGGAAAACAAACCCCTCGGCATTTGCATCCAAATTCGACAGCCGCCAGTTTCATGACCAATCAACAGTGCGCCTCTCTCAACAGCCCGACTTCTTTTCGAATCAAACTCTTTCGTCACAGGCTTAAGAATATCTTCCAGCTCGAAAATCTGTAACTTCGAGGAAGCTGTCTGAGGTGCAAACGTCACGGTAAGAAGATGTTTTTTATCGACTGAATATGATCCAACATGTCGAATCACCGGACAACCGTTCACAACCAGATCGTTCCTTTTATTGATGCCAAAACAGCTGTTCTGAAAAGAAATTCACAACTCAAAAGATAGGCTAGTCCGCTGCACAGTGGTAAGCATAAGAAGAAGGAACAGGGGAAATACCACCAAAAATAGCAGCACGCACAAAATAAAGAAGTAAGCTTGTTAAAAAACATTATATAAGGGAAAAGAAAACAGGGACGTCGAAGAGCTGAAGAGGATGCTAGTGAAGAATGCTGGCAGGCCAAACTTCAAACTGTAACAGATGGTGAGGTCTTGAAAACTGACAGTGAAATCCAGCAAATTGAACATATGGAAGAAACTGTAGGCCAAAAATCTGCCGGATGAAACAAATTCTGTAGAGGCGTGGATGTTCTGGAAAAACACAGCGGAACAATAGCACCGACCTCTTCAATAAGTCAGAATGCTCAAAGTAATGAAAGCCAACGAAGCGGAAAACAAAAAATGACTAGAAAACGCTCGCTTTCACAGCGACGGCAGTGCGGCAGAAACTGGCTGGAGAAGCGTCTTGTGACCGCAAATGAAACACTGCGTGATATCAGATAAAGTCCGGCACCTTTGTCACTGCCACGGGAAGTAAAATCAGGAACAAGAAGTCGCTGTAAGCTTGAGTGACGACTAGCAGACGCTACATATGACAGGTACCAGGGCGAGATGGCACACATGATCAGGAAATGTGACGGATGAAAAGCTGAGGAAGATGGAGTCTCAGTGTTAATGAGATTCAGCAACATTTCAAGCACAGCCACCCGTACGTGCTTCAAGTGCTACTGAGTCTCAGCAGGTGTCTATGCTCCGCATGAAACATCGTGCCGACAGCATATGCACACTAACTTTACCGGGAAAAAAGATCCCAAAAAAACAGTAAAACATACGAGCTTGCATACTAGACAGGAATGAGGGAACAGGAACAGAAAACAGCTGCAATGGGCACGTCGAAAGAACTGGAAGTGTGCGAATATCAGTTTGCATCGGTTACCGGAAAGCACTGTTCACATGCAGGACATTCGAAAAAGAAATTCAAAACGGTTCTAACTTTGCACGGTAGAAAGTGGCAGTGATGTAAAAGATCTCTCGCTGATAGCATTACTGTCTTAGTGAAAATGTCGCTGTCCGCTTCTCGAGTCAAAAAAATCCAGCTTCCGTCAATCTGCTGCAGTACAAAACCATTCACAGTGCGGCTGTGCCAAACGAACAAATCCTTCGAAGAAAACAGGCAAACGCTGAAAAATTTGTTAAGCTGCACAACTGATGTATGTACCACCCTTCCTACTCTCTCTCTGTCCCATGCCCCCCCCCCCTTTCCCTCCTCATCAAGTTTGTGGCAGTTGCTTCTATGGGTACTCTAAAGTGATTACTACACAGATGTGCAGGTCAGGGGAAAAGCACACGTATACAGCGCTTATAACAGCAGCCACAAGAAATAGCGGTGCGCCTCCGATTTGCCGGTGTGATCATGCGCTTTGCGCAGTTCTGCCCAGCGGAAGTTTGTTGCTAAGAACTTTCACTGCTTCAAATTTGGTGTGTATAAAAATAGTCGATATACTGTTAAGTTGCGAATTTTCGCAGCAAAAATTTCATGCCGCCGTACGCAGAACGTGGTTCCAAGTGAGGGCTGAATTCAAGTCTGTAGGATGTACACGAAAACTTCAGCTACATTGTCTGGATTCCGAATTAAAAATTCCTCAAGTGAAATTCCACCTATCCGTACGTGATTGAAACGGACATAAGCGTTGAATATGGAATTTCAGGACTGAATATTTATAGGAAACAACATCCTAAATTCCCAATTTTCCGCCATGTCCAGTTCCTGAGAAAAATTCCCTGCCAATACATCCATGTTCCGTATTATGAGATCCAGATGCACTAAGAAACTGAGTTTAAATTTATGTGGACAAGAAACATCCCTGTGAAGTATCAATTTCCTATTTTCCTGGCTACCGAATTAATGATTTTCATACGAAACCTACACTCGCCCGTGTGTGAGACTTAGGCACAAATGAAAGCTGAATTCAAATCCTTTTATTACACAACTTGCGACAACTTGCTTCAGAATTTTCAGCTTTCTTGTTTATCGGCTACCGAATTAGTGATTTTCGCTTCAAAACTTTAACTTGACAGTACATGAGATTTAGGAATAAATGAAAGCCAGATCTGTGCGATCTCGCGTAGGCAGAAAACACCGTCCTGAAATTCCAGCTTCCTAACCTTTCCGGCTTCCGAGTTAGTGATTGCCACGCCAAAACGTGATAGTATGTTGTACAAAGCGCATAAGGCTCCGAGAGCAGCAGCTTCTGAATTGGTAACCCTCATTTCCCAAATGTCAACCTCTCCAAACAAAAGTTACAGATTTTCTATCTGTTTTAATGCATAGTCACAATCGAACACTGCGAAATCCCCGCCCTTTGCCTTCTGCAGCAACTCCTTTACCACGATTAACACAGAAATAATAGGGCTGTGCAGGAATAAGGTCACTTCCACAGTTCCGTTTTATCGTTGTGTTTGCTGCCTCTTCTAAAGAACGGCCTATTCGTCACAACCGGAAGTTCGCATTCTTTTTTCCTATATTCAACTTATTTTCCTCACTTTCTACTTCTCCTCTCGCCTGTTTTTGTTTTTTCCCTGAATCCATATTTTAACGCTAAAAATGCACAGCCACGCCCACCTTTCTTCGCTCTGATATATTTTAATCAATTCTGGCTAATCTTAACAAGCGACCAGCTGAGTTTTGCAATCTAGTCAAAGTATCTTTTTGGCTGAACCATGCACTCCTCCCCTTTCATCCCCTTCCGTCTCGCCCTCCCCCCGCACAAATTTAGACGACAGAACATTTAGATAGCATATAAGACATTACAGTGGCCTATACTGGTCGGGTGACGCTGTCAGCCTTGCCAGAGAGTAAGGGAAGTTGCGTTTCATTACTGAACAATCTGAACAATAAACAGAAAGACAGAAAGATCGCCCGAACTATCTCCGCAAAAATTCCTTATGTACATGACGTGACAGCTAACTTGAGGAAATGGAACAGCGCAATAACTACTGGCACTCCATTTGACTAACTTCATAATAGCACTGATTATTTGCTATTTATATTCATCCTCCGCTTACTTTGGTTTCTTCCGCATCTTCACGGATCTCACTAGAAGCAACGAACGGGATACAAGAAAAGCATTTTCCAGAAAGTCTTACCTCTTCGCAAGACCCTTCAGTGCAAAACTGTATAAAGCACAGGAGGATGTAGCAACAACAGCGGAAAGCAGCTTGGAATCATGCAAAACAAGATTGTAGCAAACGCATTCATCCGGCATCACAGTTACATCATATTCACCACACTTTTCAAACTTGCCATTGCGTAATTCATCTGCAAAAGATAAATTTTGCAGGAACGCAGTTGACTAGTTACTGGGGACGGTGGTCCAGAAATGAAGTACACGAAATGTACACACTTGTGACTCCCAGTACTATCGCTGAAGCAACCACAAATTAATGATGAAAACCCAAAAGAAACAACTGATGAAACGAAAGACTGCATAACTGGTGCACCGTAGTCCCAAAAAAATCTCGTGGTCGTTGTATTTCGGGATGCAGCCTACCTGAAGCGACGCTGTGC